CTAACAGCTCACTTAAACCTGTAGTTTAAGTGGCACACTTAAATTATGTTAATCGAAGAAAGATTAAAAAGAATAATATACTTAACTGTGCTTTGAAATTCTTTCAAAAATAATCTAATTAATGATCTTTAAAAATTTTTACAGCACGTCTAAGATCCTGTTACTGCACACCATTTGAAAATCACTGTCCTAGACTAGAGGGAAAGTGTTTAGTATTTTACCATCGAATATGCTGTTAGCCACAGGCATTTCATACATATTCTTTATCAAGTTGGGAAAATTTCCCTCAATTGCTATTACAGTTGTATGATAATTTTTATCATGAATATTGAATTTTGTCAATTTCTATATCAACTGACTTTTCTTTTTTAACCAATTAATCTGGTGGATTACATTGATGTTAAATATTTAATCAGCTTTGGGTCCTAGGATTAGCCATGGTGTATTTATATATCGCTGAATTTTATTTGCTAATTTTTTTTAAGAATTTTTGCGTCCGCATTCATGAGGAATATTGGCCTGTAGTTTTCCTTTTTTGTACTGTCTTTGTCTAGTCTGGGTATCAGGGTAATACTGACTTCATAAATAAACTGAGTCGAGAAGTGTGGCTTCCTCTTCTCTTTTCTGGAAGAGATTCAGCAGAATTAGTATTAGTTCCTTTTTAACCATGTGCTAGAATTATTCATTGAAACAATCTGGGCATGGAGTTTACCTTTTCAGGAATTTAAGATTAGGAAGTCAATTTCTGTACTATTTATATGGCTTGCCCAGTTTATTCTTTGTGTTAGGTGAGTTGTGGTAGTTATTTTTCAAAGAGCAGTTCATTTAATCTAAGTAGTCAAAGTTATGTGCATAGAGTTTATAGTATTCCTTCATTATCCCTTCAATGTCTGTTGAGTATAGAGGCAAACCATATCTCATTTATGACATTGTTAGTTTCTTTCTAATTCTGTTGGGTTTGCTAGAGATTAACTTTATTGACATTTTTAAAGAATCAGCTGTTTTATTGATTTTTCTCTTTTCTGTTATGTCAAATTCTTCTTTTGTCTTTACTATTTTCTTTCTACTATTAGCTTTGAGTTTAATTTCTTTTTTGTAGTTTATTAACATGGCACTTAAATTGTTGATTTGAGACTTTTTTGTGTAAATATTTAGTACTATTAATTTTCCTTTCATTACCACTTTATCTGTATTCTCCAGATTTTGATATGTTTTCATTTTCATATTTGGGTCATTGTTTTTCACTTTCCCTCGCGGCTTTCTCATTGACCATGGCTTACTTAGGAGTGCTGCAGGATATTTCTGTTATCTTACTGTTATTAATGTTAGTTTGGTACCATTTTGGTGTGAGAACACGTGTGTATAATTTAAATTTTTTAAAAGTTGTTGAGTTTTTGTTTTATGGCCAAAGATATGGTCTCTCTTATTAGATATTCTTGGGCACTTGGGAAAAAAAATCTGTTCTGCTTTTTTTCGTGGAGTATTCTGTTAATGTCAATTAGATCTTGTTTGATGGTGGTGTTCTGTTTATCTATATCTTGCCTATTTTTTGTCTAGCTTGATTTATTTTTGAGAGAAGGATATTGACATCTCTCACTACAATTGAGAATTTGACTATTTCTCCTTAAATTCTGTCAGTTTTGGCTTCTTATAATTTAAAACTCTATTATTTGATGCATACGCATTTAGGATTTCTATGTCTTTCTTTTGTATTGACCCTTTAACCATTATGTAAGGTCTCCTGTTCCTGGTAATTTTTCTTTGTTCTGATATCTACTTTTTCTGACATCAACACAGCCACTTGTACTTCCTGTATATTGATATTTGTGTGGTATGTTATTGCTGTTCTGTTAGTTTTAATCTACCTATATTATATAGCTGTGAGTTTCTTGTAGACAGCATATAGCTGGATTATACTTGTTAAATCATGTCTGTTAGTCTCTGTCTTTTAATTGGTATACTGAGACCATTTACACTTAAATGTAGTTATCAACATATTGATATGTTATTGATAAGTTTATTTAATTTGGTTTTGTTTGTTCCTTCTGTTTCCTTTTCCTATGTTGTTGTGCTTTATGGAAGCATTTTATAGAATTCCATTTTGATTTTTATATAGTTGCTTTGAGTGAGTCTTGTATAAAATTTTTAGTGCTTGCTCTAATATGTTATTTTATATAACATTACAATCTACTGATGTCAACATTTTAATAGTTTTAGTATAGAAAACTTACTTCCCTTTAAGTACCTTTATTTTTCCTTATGTATAGTATAAATGTCTTAAATATTTCCTATTTTCCCTCCACCTATTTAGAACTACAGTATATCAGATAAATTTATAATTTTTGGTTCAACCAGCAAGCACCATGTAGAAAACACAAGAGAAGAAGGAAGTATATCACCCATTTGCCCATATTTTTCTTCTTTTTCTTTCTTGTGCCCAACATGCCTTCTGTTACCATTTCCATTTTTGTTTAAGAACTTCAGTTGATTACAAATTCTTTCTACTTTTCTTATCTAAAAATTTTCCACTTTTGCTTTTATTACTGAAATATATTTTTCCTGAATATAGAATTCTGCATTGATACTGCTTTTCTTTGAGAAATTCCAAAATTCTTTCCCATTTATTTCTGGCCTCCATAGTTTGTGAGGAAAAAATTGTTGTCATTCTAATTGTTTTTTTTCCTCCTAAAAATCAAGTGTCACTTTTCTCATACTGCTTTCAATACTTTTTCTTTGCCCTTCATTTCAGAAGTTAGATTGTGATGTGTGCTGGCCTAATTTTTTTTTTTTTTTTTAAGAGACAAGAGTCTCACTTTGTCACCCTTGGTAGAGTGCTATGGCATCACAGCTCACAGCAACCTCCAGCTTTTGGGCTTAGGTAATTCTCTTGCCTCAGCCTCTTGAGTAGCTGGGACTACAGGTGCCCACCACAACGCCTGGCTATTTTTTTGTTGTTACAGTTTGGCTGGGGCCGGGTTTGAACCTGCCATCCTCGGTATATGGGGCCAGTCCCCTACTCACTGAACCACAGGCACCACCCTGGGCTAATTTTATTTTTAGTTTATTCTGCTTGAGATTTGCTCACTTACTTCAATCTGTAGATTGCCAGACTTGGAAAATTTTCTGCTATTATTTCTTCTAATATTTGTTCAGTCTCAGTTTTCCTTTTCCTTTTAAGACTCCAGTAACATGAATGAATGTTAAGTCTTCTATTTTTGTCCCTTAATTCCAGAGACTTTGTTTTTCAAATGTATTTTTTTAATTGTTCAAATTGGGTAAGATCTGTTATCTGTCTTCAAGTTCAAGAAGTCTTTCCTCTCTGTGCACTGCAGTCTGCAGTTGAGCCCATCCATTGGGGTCTTTATTTTGGTTTTTGTATGTTTCAGTTCTATAATTTATACATTCTATTTCTTTTCTTAGACTTTCTATAATTTGTTTCAAGCATGTTCATGATAACTTAAATGTTTTCATGATAAGTGCTTTAAAATTCTTATCAGATGACTTTAACAAATGTATCATCTTGATGTTTGTGTCTGTGGATTGTCTTTCTCATTTAAGTTGAGTTTTGGAGGGGCTTAATATGATGGGTGATTTATTTTTATTGTATCCTAGCTATTTTGGGTATTATGTAATGAGATTACAGATCTTACTGCATCTGTTTTAGCAGATTTCCTCAGACTTTACATTAGTTGGGTGGTGATTATTGGGGGTGAAATTCCAGGCTCCTTATTCACCCTCCAGCTGGGGGCCAAAGAAACCTTGTCATTCTTGAACAGATATGGAAATTCAGATTCCTTATTAGGCCTTCTCTGACAGCACAAGTCAGGGCTTATTGCTATCTAAAAGAGGTAAAAATCTTGACTTCCTATTCTGCTTTCTCTAGTCCTCCCTCACTGGGGTCTTGGGTGTGCTCCTCCTAGCCTAATGAGGGTAAAAACTTGAGAATGTGTACATGGCCTTTCCTGGCTTGAGTGGGGCTAGGGTTACAGATATTTTTCATAGTTTTTGGCTAAATACAGTGCTTACTGTCTGAAAGTTTTGTTTTGCTAGGTTGCCCCATTCTTGGTCTTTTGGCTAGAAAAACATGCTTTACTTGTGCCTTTAAAAAATTCTGCCTGTACCCAGTGGCATTTTCAGTTTGGTAGCTTCTTCAATTCCTACTCTGAGATAAACAAAGCAAAAGGAAAACTGCTTTAAACACACAGACTCACGGAAGCATGTGCGCGCGCGCGCGCGCACACACACACACAGTTTTTCTTTGACTCCTGGAGGCTTCAGAGGTTCCCTCTCTTCTTTCTATCTTTCACAGTCTTCTTACATTTATTATATAGGAATAAAAAAAAGTGTGCTTATTCTATATTTTCTGGAACCAAATGCATAGTCTCTTAAATATTCTCATTTTGTGCTCAAATATCTGAAATAACGGGGGGGGGGGCTGCTTATGAAGCACAGGTGATCAGATCGTTATGGTGGCTTTACATTAGAATCTAGTTTCCTGTTGGCAGATGGGTGCTTTCTTGTGTCTCTCACTTGATGGAAGCTGTGAGCAGATGCTCACTCTATTCCCATCAGCCGTGGCCACAGTGGAAGACTGATCAAGGCACTTTCCTTGGCACCATTGCTCCCTCTCAGAAGGACGTGGTTGGACGCCTGTTCTTCTACCTCTCAGGCATCTCTTTCTGCATGTGTTGGGCTTTTTACCAGTGCAGATGCCTGCTCGGTACTGCGTGCTGTTTTCACCACCACACTCTGTTAGATCCTGTTAAATCCCGTAACCCTTGCTGTGGGGCCATCACATACATGCAGCATAACCCCTATTATGGATGTGGGAGCCCCAATACTAACTACTGAGATAACTCACCCATGATCCCACTGCCAGCCAGAGCAGAGCCTGCCCTCAGCCTGTGGTGGATGACACAGGCTGGAGAGGGACGACAAGTGCCTTTTGTCAGTAAGTGGAGAATTTGACGATATTTCTTTATTTCTATGATGGGCTACAGCGGAGGGCATTGAGAACAGCCTCAGAAAAGCTCAGAAACCGTTCATCCTTCTCTACCAACGTCGTCTACACCACCCCAGGCACTCGTGTCAACAGGTACATCAGCCGCCTCTTAGAAGCACGCCAGACAGAGCTGGAGATGGCGGACCTGAACTTCTTTACCCTGAAGTACAAACATGCTGAGCGGGAGCAAAAGGTCAGTGGCTCTGGTTTCAAGTCTTCCCGGCGCCGTCAGTGAAGGTGCTGCCTGTGCTGAGGAAGCCCTGACGGCGTGACTTCTCTCCACAGTACCACCAGCTTCAGGACGAGTATTTCACCAGCGCTGTTGTCCTTGCCCTCATCCTGGCTGCCTTATTTGGCCTTGTCTACCTTCTAATAATCCCACAGTACGTATGTTCATCAACAGGATGGGAAGGAAAACGAGAAGTCTAGGTTTGTGGGGTTGGTGACTATTTTCTTTTTTTGTGTTCAAGGTTCCCCTCCCACAGTTAATACCCCAGTGTGCCTGGTATTTAGGGAAGATGTTAGCCACCGAGCAAGTCTCCTTTTTGTCAGTTGATCATGCAGCAAGCCTTGATAGCAAACATGGGGCAGGTCACTTCCAATTTTTAGTTTACTCAATTCTTAGACATTGTATCTTTTCGGTTTTTCTATTCATACAACATACCCCATTGTCTTACTAGCTTTTGAAGAAAAAAAGTGCACCAAATAGGCTCATTGGTTTCTAAGTCTGTGTCATTTTCAGAAACATTAAAATAAGAGTGGGAAAATATAGTGATTTTAATAACATTTAAATATTGCATGAATCCATGTGAGTTTTGCAGCTTTGCCACCACAGTCTCCACTCATTCCTTTTCTTCCAGATGTATCTTTTCCTTAATAAAACATGTGGGAACAGTATCTTCCTTGAGTTTCCTAAATGTACCTGGAAGCCCCCACACCTGCTGAGGAGATGGAACCTCAGTCTCTGGTGCTCTGCATCCCACGCAGGCCACATGCTATGAACCCAACAGCTGTGATACCTGGATTTGGAAATCAAGCCTTTTATATTTTATTGAAATGTCCTTCCCAGACAAAGCCCAGCAGGAGGACAGTTCAGCAAAGTCTGGGCAACTCCTGTATTTCTATTGTGAGGAAAAGGGCTTGCAGAAAAGTCCTATGTCTCTCCACCCGGGCAAGATCTTGGGGGTGAGGGTGGTAGAAACAGGAAGGGTGGGCTCAGGAATGACCCCCTTACTGAGGAGCCCCAGATGCCTTTCCCAGGAAGAGAACCAGCAAGGCCAAGTCCCTAGAGACCTGAGTGCAGGCAGCTCAGAGAATGATGCTGCTACTTCCTGGGGGTTCAGGGGATGGTGGGGGGCTGCTTTCCAGGTACCTCCTGGGTCTTCCTCTCCTGGCACTTGCCTAGCTGTGACCCTCATGTCTTCTGTCCCCCAGGAGTGTGGCCGTCCTGCTCCTGCTAGTGTTCTGCATTTGTTTCCTGGTGGCCTGTGTCCTGTACCTGCACATCACCCGGGTCCAGGTATGTGGTGGCCTGTGTCCTTCACATGCATATTGCCTGTTCCAGGTCCTTGGGTGGTGTGTGTCCTGCACTTACACGTCACCTGGTCCGGCTGTGTGCCTCGGCCTTGGTGACCCTCTCTGCAGCACAGGTGGGACAGAGAAGGCAGCTCTGTACCCTCTCCCTCCAAGGCAGGAGGCATCTGCTCACGTAGCAGGTGCTCAGTAAGCCCCAGTTCTGCCAGGGGCCAAGTGTTCTTTGCAGAGCGTGCCTGGAGGCATAATGGGCTGGTGATCAGTATTGATTAAATAAACGAACACAAGATACTGATCCCTTTCTCCTGGAATGGGGAGTCCACAGGGGGACAGGAGAGAAATAGCTCTGTATGTTCATGTCCTGGACTGTTCCAAGTGGGCTGTCTACACTGTCCAGGCCCTGATGGTTTATCTGCTCTGCTCTCATGGACTTTGGAGCAAAGGCTTGAGCTTTATGGCCTTGTCCCGTTCATAGTTCACTGGAGAGGACTCTAGTCTTCCTTGTCCTGCATTCCTCTGTCACATTCTCAACCTTCATTTCCAATGCCTCATTTCCCCAGCCTGCCCCCAAGCGATAATTCTAGCAAACAGTGTTGTATTTACATAACTATTGAAAACTTTTTGAAAAGATTACATTTATTTTTATTCATTCAAGTTTGTGAGGATCTGCTTCTGACACCACTTGCCAGGGCCCAGGACTGGCCAGGTCTCAGGCCCAGCTTAGGCAGGTTCTGGATGTGGACCGCTAAGCTACCTTGCTCAGGAACAGTTTCTCTTAGGTGCTTGAGGGCTGTCTACTTTGGCTGGAGAGAGAGAGAGAGAGAGAGTCTTAGAAAGAGTAAAGCAGTCTTCTTAGAACAACTAGATCTTAGTCTTTGGCAGAGCTTGGTCATCTTCAGCAGAGAGACGCTGAGCTGGCGTTCTGCAGGCAGGAGAGGAGACAGAGTCAGAGTAAGCGTGTCCATGATAGAATGCGCATGCTCCCGACTGCCTTCTCCTCCAGCCTAATATAAGGCTGAGCTCGTGCCTCTCAACACCACAGGTGTAGAGACTGCCAATTCACCACTGCTCTCATCTCGTGAGCTCTCTCATGCTTGTTAGAACTAAATCTCTCTCCATGCCCTGTTCACCAAGGTGTTCCATTACAGGTATTTCCTATAACTCTCACTCCTTCCAGCCATAGGCTATATGGGCTACTACAATTGTCATAGGTAAGTCTTAATTTTTTCAATTGAAAGATGATAATTATTAAGATTGCACTCCAGCTCTTTGGGTTTGGAGATTGAGTGATATTTGGTGTGCTAAGCTTTTAAATTTCCCACTTCAAATGCGATTATTTTTTTTCATATAATTTCAAGTGAGAGCACAACAGATAGAAGATCATTTTTGTAGCCTATCCTATGGTCCCCAGTGGCGGGAACCAGTCTGCCCCCTGGTGGTTTGCAGATCACACAAGTCACACAGAAAGTTTAAGGAACCGTTGGGGAAAGGAACAAAGCAGTCGTGGAAGCCCGTGCCAGGCTGGAGGGCCCTGCCCAGCCCGTCCCATCCCGGGATATTGGTTCTCACGAGTAGATTTACCCCTATGACTCTATCAAAAAATATGCTCACATGACCAGGAAGCAAAATCTGCACCTACTTGGTCATAAAAATAATATTCAAATTTTTAAAGCCTCCTGTCTCCGCAGAACACATGTCCTGTGAGACTAGGCCGCTGTGACTGCCTGTTTAGAATCCCCCCTGGTTAGTGTTAAAGCCTCATGGCTGGAAACTTTGGCACTGTAATTCCCAGATGGTAACATTAAAAGTCAGTCAGCTTAGGTCAGCCGGTAGCATCTCCCTGACTCCGTTTTTCTTCTCTAGGTGGGCTCTGCCCTCGGCTGCACTAGTTCCTTTCTTTCTGAACCACTCTCCCTTCTCATGTGAGCAGGCTTCCAGTGTTTTTTTTTTTTTTTCTAAGTATGTGCTTTAGAAGCGTCAGGCTCAAAAAGTGGTGGGGCCCTGACTTCTCCAGGAGCTGCCCAAAGTGGCACTTTTGGCTGATGTGCAGGGAGCAGGGGCTCCCACGGGCCGACTTCTCAGCCAGTGCAGAGGCGGGTTCAGCTCACAGTCATGCTTTGACTGTACCAGCACATACAGGCTCATGTTTGTCGGCTCTGCACTGGACTCTGAACGTCCCCCACAGGGGGACCAATATGGGCAGACAGCAGGATGGAGGCTGGGAGGTATAGGAGAGGCCAGCGGGCAGGAGTCACAGCCGTTTAGCAGAAAGCCAGTGTGGCCAGGCAAGAGATGTGACTGGGTATGGCTCATGCAGGTGGGAGTAGGTCCAGTTGCCAAACTATATTCCTAAGAAGGTCTGTGGCATCAACGGGACAGAAAGTTTTTCCTCCCTGACATTTGCAGTGTCCAGAATGAGGGTGTCCAGGGCAGGTGTGGCAGCTGCATGGCCACCTGGGACCTTTGCCTACCACTTGGGTCCGTGTTCCTCAGGGGTGTGCCAACTCCGGGCCTTGGGCTCCAGCTCTCTGGACCTCAGTGTTATCTTCTGTGAATTGATGACAGTGGTCTCCACTTCCCTGGCTGACAGGGGGATTCAGCAAGCTGACATATGTATGTGGGGCCTGGCATACCGTACATGCACCTGAAGTGTTCTGAAATCAACTAAGAGGGAGAAGGCAGAGGAGAGAAAAGGGTGGTGGGTGGAGCCCATCCCGGGAATCAGTGGGAGTCCTAGAAATGATGAGGGCTTGTAGGGTTCAGCCTCATCATCTATAGCAGTTTGGAGAGCTGGACTGAGGGTCCTGCTGAGAGCTGAAAGGGGCAGAACTAGCCTGGCTGGATCCCAAGACCCAGCTGGGGAAGGATGTGAACTTTGTCTGTCCAGGCTGAGGATACTGGGCAGCAGTGCCGGCCCTGGACGAGGTGTGGTGGGGAGACCACAGGGCTGACCAGCTGGGGTTCAGATGGCTGAGCCTAGAGAAGGGGAGCCAGGGAGGTGCACACAGGCCAGATGCCAGACCCCGGACCCAGGTGGGGCTGAGGGTGCTGCAGACAGGGCTGACCAAGGTCAGCTGACACACTCGCCTGGATCCTGGGGATGTGGGTGTGGCAGGATTCTTAAGAGAGTGGGGATATGCCTAGGGCAGGCTGCTCTGCAAATCCCGCCTAGCCCGGTGCGTACAAACTTGCCTCTGAGCTTGTGTCCCTATCCTCCTTTGCCTCCTCCCTAGAGCTTATGAGCTGCTGTGAACCTGGAGCTCTAAGGAAAGGCAGAAGTACATGCTCTGGAGGACCCAGGGAGGGGACGTGACCCCCACTATCCCAGTTGGGACCCTCTTGTCCCAATCTGGACCCTGAGCTAGGGCATAGACTTAAGAAGGTGGGGATATTTGTATCTGTATGATATTTGGGTTAAACTACATGGCTGTCAGAACAGAGAGAGAAAACCCACACAGATACCCTTAAAGCCGGGGGCGAGGCGCTCGAAGCACGCTGGTGAGTGCAGTAGCAGGAAATGGTTCCTGCTTTTTCATCCCTCCTTCCTCACATGACATCTTCTGCCTCAGTCCCCCAGGAGCTCCCCTGAGGGTGTCTGTGTGGGACTGGGTTTGTTTATTTAGCATAAATGGAGTCACTACTGTTTAAACTTCAAATCACAACTTGCTGGCAGGTTGTGAAATCATTTGTGTGAGGTGTGAACAGCTTTGCTTTTACAAAGGAATGAAAACTATCGTCCTGCGTCGGGGTTTCCTGGAAGTTCTGTTTCAGTTCTGGTGGAAGCGGGTAGTAAAATGAAATTTGTTTCTCCTTTGACACCTGATCAGAAAGCTAGGAAGGACCTTGCTCCTGTCCTTCCTCATACCAGCCTGTGATAAGCACTGATCCGACTGTCTCCCGGCCACCTTGCACACCCTAGGCTGGCTCTGTTTTGTCCGTAATGCATTAGGCAGCATGGTCAGGGCCAAGTGGAGATGGACACAGGTGCGGAAAGGGTAGACAGAGACATACTGCTCCTTGCTGTGTTTGTCTAAACCAGAGTTTTCCAACCTTTTTATCTCACGGCACATTTGAACCTGTAGTTACACTTCTGCAGCACACTTAAATTATGTTGATTGAAGACAGGAGTGAAAACACGAATGTATTTACTGTGCTTTTAACTTCTTTTGAAAATAATTTATTAATGATCTTTAAAAATGTTCGTGGCACACCTAAGATCCTCTCACAGCACACCAATTGAAGACCACTGGTCTAAACCACTGCAGCTTTTATAGCCCGATAGCTGCCAGCATTGCCTTCACAGCGAGCCCAACTGTCTAACCGCTGGAGGTCACCCGCATCCTCCCCTTGGCACTCCAGTGTTTGCTGGAAGATTGCACCATATCTTGTTGTAGTTGGTGGGCTCCTCCCACTGGTGGACTCGTCTTCTTAAATTCAGCTCATGCTGGGAACAGTCCAGTCCTGTGGGGCTGATTCTGGAATACTCACTTTCATGCTGTGGGTACAGTCATTCTTTGACATGATGTTGCTGTCATTTGTACCTATCTGGATGTTGTGCTTTGAGGGTGCTGCTAACAGCTAACAACCTGCTGGGTCCACATTTGACTGAATGTAGGTTATGTTCTTGGGGAATTTTCTATTGTTCATATCAGAGCAGCTATTTTTTTCTATATTTCTACAAGCTATTTCTATTCTATTTTTGTCTGTAGATGTTTGTCTTTTGTTTTGCTTATGAAAAAGAATTGATAAGCATTGCCTAAATTAACTTTTAAGAGAAAAAGGGGAGGCCGTCAGTATTTTTTTTATGAATTTATTTGTTTATTTATTTTATCACAGCTGAATACATTCATGCATTTATGGGGTACAAGCAGACAACCCTCCTTATCATTCATATGCTCTGCTTCTCCAGGGGCCCAAGGCAAAGCCTCGCCACCTCTGAGCTGGGCCTTCTGATTATCATTGTTCAACTTCTGGGGCAATATTTGAACTCTGTTTGATCACATATTTATAGGATCAGGTATTGAGCGTCGCATGGAGAGGATCTGAAATACTCCGCGCTGGAGGTCACATCCTCACCCGGGGTGTGGTCTGGGCAGCTGGCCTCCCAAAGCCACCTCCTCCCTCTATAGAGTCTGTGGCACCCTAGGTAACATTGTGCAAGTAACCGAACAGCCTATTTGAACCTCTTTAAATGAGAAAGGGAAATTATTGGCTCACAGATTCAGAAAAAACAGAGAGACAAGAGCCCCAGTTGTTTTTATCAGGTGGCTCTGTCTGCCCAGGGCCCCCCTCTCCACGTCTTGCTCGGGCCTCCTCTGGTTCCAGGCCGTGGTGGCAGCCTCTGACTTCCCTGGCTTCCCCTTTTGCTGCCAGCTAGAGAAAACTCTTTAATTTTATTCATTTTTTATTTTACAATTTTTTATTGACAAATCAAAATTGTATAGATTTATGGGGTATGATGTTATATGTGTGCATACATTGTGGATTTATTAACTAACATATCCATCACCTTACACACTTATTTCTTTGTGGTGAGAACATTTAAAATGGACTCTTTTAGCAATTTTGAAGTATATAACACATTGTTATTAACTGTAGTCACCCTGCTCTGCACTAGGTCACTAGGCCTTCTTCTTCCTATCTAATTGAAACTTGTATTCTTTGACTAAAATGCTCCCTTTATCTCTACCCCAACACCATGCACCCCTAGGCTCTGGTGACCACTGTCCTGCTCTCTACTGCCATGATTTTGACTCTCTTAGAATCCCCGTGGGGGTCAGATCATGTGGTATTTTCCTTTCTGTCCCTGACTTATTTTACTTAACATGTTGCCCTCCAGGTTCATCTGTTTTATCAGAGATGGCAGGATTTCCTTCTTTTTCAAGGCTGAATAGTACTCCATGGCAGATAAGCACATTTCTTTACCTGTTCATCTACTGATGGGCACTTAGGTTGTTTTCATCTCTTTACTATTATAAATAGTGCTGAATGAGCATAAGATTAAAGATGTCTGTTCAACACACTGATTTTATTTCCTTTGGATTTATATCTACAAGTAGGATTGCTGGATCATATATGGTTGACCTACTTTTTTTTTTTTTTTTTTTTTTTTTTTTGAGACAGAGCCTCAAGCTTTCCCCTGGGTAGAGTGCCATGGCATTACAGCTCACAGCAACCTCCAACTCCTGGGCTCAAGTGAGTCTCTTGCCTCCGCCTCCCAAGTAGCTGGGACCACAGGCGCCCGCCACAACGCCCGGCTATTTTTTGGTTGCAGCCATCATTGTTGTTTGGCGGGTCCGGGCTGGGGATTCGAACCCGCCTCCTTAGGTGTACGTGGCTGGCGCCCTAGCCGGTTGAGCTATAGGCGCCGAGCCGGTTGACCTACTTTTAATACGTTTAGGAAACCCCCATACTTTTTTCTGTATTGGTTGTGCTAATTTGCACTCCCAGCCACAATGTGCAGGAGTTCCCTTTTCTCCATGTTCTCACCAACACTGATTCCCCAGAATCTTTAATGACAGCAATTCTAACAGGTGTGAAGTGATACTCATTGTAGTTTAAATTTGCATTTCTCTGATGATTAGTAATGATGAGCATTTTTTTCATGTATGTGTTGGCTGTTGTATGTCTTTTTCTGAGAACTGTCTATTAAGATTCTTCGGGTTATTTGATTTATTGCTGCTGAGTTGTGTGAGTTCCTTATGTATTGGGGATTTTATTTTTTATTTTTTATTTCTTGGCAGTTTTTGGCCAGGGCTGGATTTGAACCTGCCACCTCCGGCATATAGGGCTGGTGCCCTACTCCTTGAGCTACAGGTGCCGCCCATGTGGATTGGGGATTTTAGTCAATTACCGGATGTATGGTTTGCAAATGTATGTTTTCTTGTATCTATGTGTTATTTTTTTTAATTCTGTCATGGGAGAAAAGCTCCATGACATTGGTCTGGGCAATGATTTTAGGGATCTGGCCCCAAAATCACAGGCCACAAAAGCAAAACTAGACCAATGAGATTACATCAAACTAAAAATCTTCTGCACAGCATTCAAAGACCTCATGTAATTAGACTAGGTGCACCAGGCACTCCTTTCTGCATAACTCACAGTCACCTGATTACTAAATTTAATTACATCTGCAGAATTCCTTCTGTTAGGTAACATCACATAGTCATAGACACGATATAGACTATTCATCAGAGTCACTGGCTCAGAAATTAGAGTGAGAAATATTGGGTATCATTTTAGTAATATACCCTATTTCACGTGTGCTGTAAGCTTTATTAGTTTTAAAACAATTTCTCGACATGTTTATAGCTGACGGAGAGTTTTTGATATTCTGACAAAAGTTTCTAGGAGTCCTGGGACAATCACAGTCTGTCCCGTTCATGACTAAAGCCCCGCTGCGTGGTTTCAGCTTGCATGGCCATTTTAACAGCCCCGTACGGCCATGTAGCACAAGCGCTGCGTGCTGGCTGCAGTTAGAGCATGTGCTGAGCCCTGCAGGACAAGACGCTGCTTAGCTGGTGCTGTCACGGAGCCTTCAAGAGGCCATTCTGCCTCTGCATGAAGCCGAGATGATGGAGCCTGGTAGGACCACTGACTTGGGTCAACACCTGCCCCTTCCTGTACCTGTGCAGTGCAGTGGCCACAGCCAGGCCCACCTTGGGGAGTGGAAGCTCATGTCACTGAGTCCATCGAAGCATCCATGCCTGCCACCGTGGCCACTTGGCTCCTGCATGTATTGGGGAAAGGGGCTGGTGTCCACAAAATGGGCCGTCTTATCCTTTTCATTATTGGAATCCGTCCTCTGCTCAGATCACCGGTTGGTGGGCATGCACACGGGACACAAACACCTTCACTTCCCCCGCCCCGACTTAGAGAGGTCTGTCCATTTTCTTCTTTCCCCAGACCTCCTTGTCACCAGTTCTTTGTGTTCCTCCAAGTCCTTGACCCTCCAGCCAAACCTCAGGTCATAGCTGATGAATCAGCACCCAGTCATACGTCCGGTCATTTCTCATTCCAAGCAAAGGGCACACACAGCTGCGCTGCCCAAAGATCTGCCCGCCAGGAGGCTTTTCCTTTACCACTGCCCCTCAGGGATGTGCCAGACCGGAACGTAGTGCTGCCACTGGCCCCTCATAGGTGGGGCCAAAGCAAACCCATCTATAAACCAGGCCTGAGTCGGCTCTTCCCTGGGCCATGGATGGAAAGGACTTTCCAGGGAGCCATAGCTATAGCTGGGACAGAGAGGGCAGTGAGGCTGGGAGCACCTGGGCCTCATCTGCCCAGTCCCTGCACACCTTGTGGCTTGGTGGATGGGATATCACCTAGTTCAGGAGGGGAAGCTCAGGTCTCATGGTAACTTGGTGGCCTGTATTTTTGTGGTCAGGCTTTAAGGCCCCATAGCAGGCCAGGATCAGTGATTTGCACCTGGGCCTTGCCCCCGGGGCAGGCAGCGAGGGACCAGCAGTTAGCTAAAGTCAACAAAGCCTTTGAACCTGACACTGCTGCACAGTGCTCTCCTTCCTGAGAACATCAGCAGAGACCAGTCTCCAGGTATCATGCAACAGCTCCAGGAGGCAGGGAACCCAGAACTGGGACCCAGATCCATAACCCACCTTCCGAGTGAGGTGGGACACGCCTCTCTGTTTTCATCCATAGAATAAGCGCCACTGGGCTTGCTGGGCTCTGAGTGTAGAGTAGGAATGAGGGTTAAAGAAATAAATCAGGTAGACTGGTGAGGGCACCCTGGCCAGTCACAGCCTCTGAGGGTTTAGTTGTTGTTTTCTGTAAGGTACCTGTGGGTATTTATTTTAGTAAAGAGGATTTCTGACTTTTATCCGTGAAATTGTTTGTTAAATATTTCAAAATGATTTGAAGTAAATAGATTTAAAAGAAAATTTCTATTACTTTAAGAATTATATAAAACCTGTGTGCATAAAATGATAAAACTAATTTACAGCATGGAAGAGAAAACACAAACGAATGGCAGCTTGTGCTATTTCCGAGGTGGACGAATTCAGCTGAGAACGTTAAGTTAATCTATTCAGTTCATTTCCGAGCTAGTCAAAGTCGTGGGGCGGGGTGGAGGGAGAGAGAGATCTTTCTGATTTAAAAGCTTCAGATGCTTTTCTTAACCTTGGCAAGTTTTTCAGCTGGGAGAACAGATATATGAAAACAGCTGAGAGATCCGTGTGGAGGACGCGTGTCGGTGTGGACCTGGAGCGTGGGCACTGCTCTTCACATTCTGCTGTGTGAATTATCTACTGTGCCTGTGAAGGAGCTTTGTAATCAGGGGACATTTTTTAAATTAACATTTTCTTGTTCAGTGTTTTCCAGGGTGCCTGACGATTCAGATTCGCACCGTCTTGTGTATTTTCATAGTGGTCTTAATCTATTCAGTAGCCCAAGGATGTGTGGTGAGCATCTCCCGCTCTTGGCAGGAGGGAGGGCAGGGTGAGGGGCACACCTTGGAGATCTGGCCTTGGAGAGCCAGCCGAGAGGCCGGGGACCAGGCTATGGAGACAAGGGGTGATCGGCATAGATGTCAGGAACAGGCAGGGTGCCCAGAGGAGGAGGGAAGGAGAGATTCATCTAGCAGAGGAAATGAGAACTCTCCCTGGTACAGGGCAAACTGCTCCTTCACAGCAGGCTGAGGACAGAAGCAGGGGGGTTAACGGGACAGAGCCACCATGCTGGGGGCATCACTTGGTTCTCCTGGGGTCTCTTAACTTCTCCAGTAGCTAGTAGGGCTCTGAGCAGGTGGGAGGTTGGAGGCCTGGGGGCTGCTGTGAGGGGAGGCATTACCAAGCATCCTGAGGGCTTGGAGCTCCTGCCCGCCTCTCTGAGCTCCTATGCCCTCCTTCTTCCCAGGTGGGCTGCCTGCCCTGGGCCTGGAGCTCCAAGCCCAACAGTACCCTGGTGGTCTTCTCATCCGGGGGCCGGCGCACAGCACTGCCCGCCCTGCCCTGCGAGTCTGCATACCACGCCCTTCTCTGCTGCCTGGTGGGCACCCTCCCGCTAGCCATATTCCTGCGGGTGTCCTCCTTGCCAAAAATGATCCTGCTGTGTGGGCTCACCATGTCCTACATCCTCGTCCTAGAGCTCAGTGGATACACCAGAGCCGGGTGAGTACACAGTCCCAAGAGACAGAGACCTGAGCGGGGCTGCTGCTAAATTCCACATAGTGTGCTGATTAGGAAAATTTCAAGAAGGACCAATTATGTACAAAATGTTTAGTTTGGTGGCTTCTCTCTTTCTTCTCCTTGGCCCCAATTCTGGCAAGTCCTCACCTCTCCCAGCGAGAAGTAGCTGCTAGCCAGGGTCAACCCCAGCAAGCCCTTTGTGGGCGTTACCACCTGAGGGTCACTCTCTGAATGATTCTTGGTTTGGTGGCAGAGCCTCGCCCTGGAAGCTCAGCACCGACTTGGGTTTTCTTCCTTGTCTCCCACCAGGGGCAGCACCATCTCTGGGCGCAGCTACGAGCCGATCATGGCCATCCTGCTGTTCTCCTGTGCGCTGGCCCTGCACGCCAGGCAGGTGGACGTCAGGCTGCGGCTGGACTACCTCTGGGCTGCACAGGTAAGGCTGACCCTTTCTGCTCTCTGTGGGTGTAGAGAGGACGTGCAAAAGTGCTTTTGTCGAGCATTAGGCAGGGGCTGACACACCTGCAGAGGTCCCTGCTCAGACATGTGCAAGGGCCAGGCACCAGGGGGTGGAGGAGTATGTTGGAGGGCAGGACAAGTGGGAGTGGCATCCACGGAAGCCACAGGGTGCACATGACAGAACCTGCCTGGTGGTCAGTGTGGCTCTTTTGAGGCAGCGAGTTCCCCACCTTTAAGCAGCATGTGCAGTTGATAGTTGATGGGGGGTGAGCTACTGCTTGGTGTTAAGAGCAGGTCTGGCTACTGAGGGGTAAGAGAAGGTGTCATCGGAGGCATTAGGAAACTCACCACGCCCACCCCAGATTTAGTAGGTCTGCAGGTAGGAGCTGACAATCTGTACTTTTAACAAGTACCCATGAAATTCTCATGCAAGGGGCATGGGGACCACTCTTTGGGAGACTGAGCAGTAGTGGATGTGTGAACTGGCCTCAGGCCCTGACTACCTGAGGACCTCCCAGGTTGAGGGGTTCACACTTTCCTGGAATCTATAGGTGCTGTTTGGGTGTAGGCCAGGTGGTGACTGCTCGATAGTGACTCTGAGCGCCTGCCATGGAGCCACATGCAGAAATGGCTTACCTGTGTCCCCTCCAAGGCCAGGGACCAGTACAGCACCTGGATGCTGGTGTGAGTGTGTCTCTGTGTGTGGCCCCCCCCCCCCCACCTTTCATGCACTTGTTCCATGTTCCACCTTTTGGAGGTGAGGAAGCTGAGCATTCAGGACTCGGCTACCCAGGTTCTCTTTCCACCTGCAGAACTTTCAAACTGTTCCCTCTGGGAAAATTGTTCACCAAAGTTTCCTCTCCTAAAAACAGGCAGTGAGGCTACTGAATATTAGCTTTAGCAAGAGCCAGCCTTTTTATCTTGACACAGTAAGAACAACTGACCCTGCTGTTGGAACTATTTAATCTTATCAGTCCTCCAAGCAGCACTGCCCAGGAGGGATTACAGGCGAGAGAACAGGCTACAGCGGGAGGGCATGCCAGGGCTGGGTGGTGGTAAGTGGGTGGCCAAGCTGGGGTCCAACCCCCATCTTTGTGAATTCTGGGTGAGCTCCAAATTATTGGCCAGAGTAGCATCTGCAGCCAGGTGGTAGCAACCTTAGCCAGGGGCCTCCACTCTGCAGCCAGGACTGAGGGAGCCCAGCCCAGTGATGGGACTCAGATACAGACAGGCACAGTTAGACAGGACTGGTTGCCAGGACCAGCCGGGGGCTCTCCATGGAGGTGGAGTCTGAGGGCACCTGGGTGTCTCTGGCTGCAGGATCAGGCTCCAACAGACCCGCTGGAGTCAGGAAACCTGTAAGTTTGTGGTCCTTGTTCCTGAGGCTAGCTTGGTGGAGACTACACGTTCCAGGGTCTGAGACCCTGGTCTGCAATAGCAGGTGACAAAGGTTGGATCTGGTGTCAGGCAGTCCTGGTCCCAAATTCTAGAGGCTCCATGTAGGGTCTGTGTGATCTGGGACAGTGGCCTGCCAAGCTCCCCTTCCTTTTCCACAGTAAAATGAGTTAGAGCAGAAAAAAACTAAAACCCTAATCCAGACGTGCCAGAAGTAACTGCAGTTCTCTTTCCCAAGTGCTTGGCCATGGACTAGAGCACAGCCACAGCTCAGTGAGGCCACCTGGTCCTCCACCTGATAGCCCCACACTGCCCCGACACAGTCTGGAGCCCACTCCATGGAGAGCCATTTGAGGGGAACTCTTTCTGGGAAGGAGAGGAAGGGGTGACAGGTGGGTGTGAGGAGTATCTGGGGGCAAATTGACATGCAGAAGTATAAAAAATGATGACCGTTGTTTGCTCCTAGTTTTAGTATCCTAGAAAAGACAGAAGCAACACAGTGGGCTCGTGTCGGTATGACAGGGAAGATGCGCATTTAAGATGATAAAGAACCATTTTGTTGCTGTCAGTAAGCGAGAGAAAGAACAAACACGGATGTGCATACACATCCCCTGTGTCTTGTGTGCATCTAGGTACACAGGCTCATATGTGCTGGTTTGTTTATTCTTCTTGCTTATATTGTATTTGTATGTAATAAGCATTGTTTAAATATGCTTCACGTAACATACAACTCAATCCATTAGTGTGCAGTCCAGAGGTGTTCATTACACTGAGAGGTCTGTAGCCAGTACTGCAGTCAATGTTAGGACATTTTTATCTCCCTGGAAAGAAACCCTGTCCTCAGTAGCTGACATGCCCCATTGCTCCCCAGCCCCCCAGCACTCGGAACTGCCAGTCTCATCTCTGTCTTTGGATTTTCCCATTTCCTTTATTCTTCAGCCTGCCTGCTAAGTTAGTGCCTGTTCTGGGCAGAAGATGCCCCTGTGCTGTCAGGCTGAGTGCTGCACTAACCCTGCAGCTGGAGAAGACCCCCAGATTCCTGAAGGGCCTGCGGTCCTGAGCTGTCTTCATTCCACACCCAGTTTCCTGTTCTGGGGTGGCAGGGGGCACTGCAGTCCACTGAATGGTGGGCTCATTGCTGCAGGGCTATGTGGATAGGGTAGACCCTGATTCCTGCTGCAGACCAATGGGACCCCTGGTGGGGATGTCCCTGGGGGAAACACATCTGAATCTGACTTGTCCCCCAAAGGACTCAGGCTGTGGTGGACGACTCATCACAGGAGAGAACCCGATCTTGGGCATGATGAGTTTGCTACAAGCAAAGCCAGGGCGGGGGTGGGGGGACTGGGGAAGAGCAGGTGTTTCCCTGAACCTCACAGGATGCTTAGAATTCAACTGTGGAAGGATGAGGTGTGGGACTGAGGGAAAGGGTTAAGGAATGTGGCAGACAAAAGGATCCTTCACAGACACCATGCGAGGAAGCAGCCCAGTGCCCCTTCCAGCCTCCCTCCCCCGGGGCAGTGGAGACCAACATGGCCCCTAAGTCTGAAGGACAGACCTGGCCCCTGTCCTGTCACTGAAGGTGGCCTGACAGTGGAATGTGAAGGGAACTGCGGGGCAGGTAGGAGCTCCATGGTCACACAGGGGTCACAAGGAGAACATCTCGCATGGTCAGGGGCCCCAGGAGGGCACCTTGGAAGGGGTCAAAGGGGGGTGGAGGAGGGACAGTTGCCCTCTGAGGGCACCGTGCATGGCCTGAAAGTGGACAGCACACCCCGCTGGACTGAGGCCAGGAGCCCTTAATGATGCTTGGACTGTTGGAAAGCGGAAATTGGGCACCAGCAGCAGCAGGCTGGTGTGGTACTTGGGACAGCCAGGAAGGAAGGGGCCCCAGTAGTAGGACAAAGGGAGGGTTATCCGGCAGGTCTCACAGCCTTCAGCTAAGGGACACGGCCCGCCCACTCCCCCAACTCTGGCTGCTGCTGGTGCTCCCCATTGGCTGAGCCTGACCGGAAGTGGCAGGACAGGGAACCTGATGGTGCAGCCTCGATCAGCCTCCCAGGGACAGAGCAGGGTGGGGAGTGGACCACAGATGCAGCACACTCTGGTTCCTGGAAAGCCATCTGTCCACGACAGTTTGCCAGAGCCATGCCCGGTAATGGGAGAAGAGCCTCTTCATGTCAGGCCATCCAGCAAGTGTGGTCTTCATCCACCTCTGGCCAGCTCTCCAGGGTAATTCAGACGGGCCGTCTGGGGAGATTTGCAGACCCAGACCCTCTGGGTTAAGACCTTTTAGTTGCAAATCCCTACTCAGAGCTCAAGAAGAACAGATTTACAATGAGCTAGGAAGACTAGAGCAGCCTGAGCCAAGATCAAGGCTTCTGGATTCTTAACTGGGGTGCCCAGTTGGCTCCCTGCACTCCCAGAGCAGAGTTGGGCCTTGGCCGTTACTATTCCAGCAGGAGACGCTCCCTGTAGGAGGTGTGGCCTTTTCTGGGCTTTGATGTCCTTTTAAAGTTATTAAATGCAACATTAGACCCTGCCATGGGATTCTCCATCCAACGACCCCACTGCATACCGAGCTCACCCACACTTGTGGGGCAAGCACGCGTTCCCGGTCTGGGTTCTGTGCATTTGTGTCATGGGGGGAGCATTGCCCAACTGGAACACACTGACATATTTGTCCAGAGACCTAACAAGAAATGCCATCCACTTTCCTGTAACCCCGGGAAAACATGGAACTTTCTAGAGTCCGTTTGCCCTTTGGCCATTTAGACATGTTGTACAAACATCAGAGTGCCTCAAACTATTGCAAAATTGCCAGGCCCAAGGATAGGTGAGTTTAATGATTTACATAGATCGGGTCAGTCATAGAAAACCAGGCATACAGACAGGACTTTTCCTTGTGACGACATCCTCGGCCTCCTCGTTCCTAACTATTCAGGTGCTTTTGTAGTAGTGTTATTTTTGCCTTTGAACTTAGTAATCACAAGGGCAAATATAATTTCAAAGTTTATGCTATTTAGTGTCTATGCAAGTAAAAACATTTTATTCCTCTGCAATTAAATGCTTAATTCAAGGGTAATTCCCATTTTGCAGTTCCTGAGGAACTGCAACAGAATTCGCACAGGCGGAATTCTTGGCGGTACAGGCTGAGTTAGAGATGTGGTCCCACCCTTTTCAGTCACCTCCCTTCCCAAGTGTGTGTTTCTCTGTATACAGGACAGTAACGCTTGTCTGGTGGGCTCGTCAGGGAGTTCGTGTAGAAACCACAGGCACGTATCTTGGATGTTGATGTGCTGTACACACGCTAGTCAACAATTTGTTCTGTTACTGTTCATAGGTTTCATGTCTGGGCTGTGTGCGAGCATGTCCTCACAAATAACTTTCACTGGGGGAACATACTTCTGTGGGTGTCCCTGAGGGGCCCAGCACTGATGCGGGAACTTAGGACCCCGTGTCCAGTCATGCCCCACACCTACTAAAAATGCTTCCTCTGCCCCTATGGGAAGTATACACGCTGCCACTGGCAGGCTGGTGCTATGTACTTAGGCACAGTGTTGCTGCCTGCCTCTATCCAAT